TGCACGTTCTTCAGCTGGTGCTGCACTGCACTACTGTCACCACCATCACCAGGACTACCCCAGGTTACGACCGATCCATCGCCAAGAATGGCCGCAAAAGCCTCGCAGGTGGCTTCGATCTGCTGCACATCCTTCAGCTGGTGCTGCACTGCACTACTGTCACCACCATAGCCAGGCCTGCCCCAAGTGACGACTGATCTATCAGCAAGAATGGCCGCAAAAACCTCGCAGGTGGCTTGGATCTGCTGCNNTGCACGTTCTTCAGCTGGTGCTGCACTGCACTACTGTCACCACCATCACCAGGACTACCCCAGGTTACGACCGATCCATCGCCAAGAATGGCCGCAAAAGCCTCGCAGGTGGCTTGGATCTGCTGCACATCCTTCAGCTGGTGCTGCACTGCACTACTGTCACCACCATAGCCAGGCCTGGTCTAAGTGACGACTGATCTATCAGCAAGAGTGGCAGCAAAGGCATAGCAGGTGGCTTGGAGCTGCTGTACAGTCTTCAGCTGATCTTGCACAGCACTGCTGTCCCCACCACAACCAGCCCCACCCCAGGTGACGACCGATCCATCACCACGAATGGCAGCGAAAGCACTTCCCCTAAGCAGCGTTCTTGCGGCTTGGATCTGCTGCACATCCTTCAGCTGGTCCTGCACAGCACTACTGTCACCACCATGGTCAGCATCACCCCAAGTGACGACTGATCCATCGCCCAGTATGGCAGCAAATGCCTTTTCAGATGCTTGAATTTGAGTTCCGATTATTTGTAAGGTCAGGAAGTCGCCGTTCTGCAGCCTGGCATCCTCGATCGAAGAACGCGCATCCAAAACGCTTCCAGACGCGTCCAGCAGTCGCCCTTGTTTTCCAACGGCAAGCGCAGTCTGTGCCCGAAGTTTCAATGCTGCCACCTGGGGGATTCCGAACATAGGGGACCCTAATATAGCACCCTAAATAGTAGGATCCTTATTATAAGGACCCCTAAATAAGGTACCCCCTATTTTCGGAAACTCCCACCTGCTCATCCCGGCCTGCGCTTACCTGGGTTGCTCTTTAATACCTTGCTAAAATTAAAACTTTTAGTACCCCTAATATCAAAAAAGGCTAATCCTAAAAGTGATAAAGCTATAAAGTGACTGTAAAGTTCAACCAAGTTACAGTAGCTACCTTGCCACTGAGCAATCCAATTTCCACCGTGACGGACATGTTCCACGCCGGTCCGCCAGCTCTGTGACGTCGGCAATTGGAGCTAGTTATTTTTAATTTCCTGCTGCAGGCTGTTGACCCTAAGCCCAAACCACAAATCCCCTAACCTTAAAAACATCTAGGCCCCAGTTCCCTAGAATCTAGAACCTACCCCAGAACCCGATCTATGCCTGAGTCCACACGTAATAAGGCTCTGCACATGAGCCGATAGTCGACATTGCCGGTGCAAGAAACGTCACAACCACAAATAGGGCTTAGTGTTTGTGGATAAAGGCTTTGGGGTAAAGGGTTTGCGGTAAAGGTGCACGGCGAGCATGTGGGTGGTTGTCAAAATTAGGGTCCCTTTTTGGGTACCCTAAATATTAGGTGCCGTATTATAATAGGGACCCAAAAAGGGACCATAATTTTGACAACAACCCATGTGTTGCTGCCGCCCAATCCAGAAATCTGCGCCCGTTCGGAGCCACAACGTTCCAAGAGCCGGTACTGGGCTCCGCCGCAGAGTCAGACACCTTGTCTGGAAAGAACCCAAAGACTCCAATATCCCTTAATTCAGGAACATACCTTAAATTAGAGTAGGATCCCTAGTATGATTTCAGGTATACTCCTTAATTAAGGGATTTTGGAGTCTCAGGGACTTATAGATCCGCTACCCGTCTCCGATCTTCTTGATCACAAACTGACGAAGGGCCGCTCAGGGCGTCCCTGGAGTATGCTAGGGTACTTAGCGCCCTTTTATGGATCCCCTACAAGAGATGGAAACGAGCCCTTACCCTAAGGGTCCATGTACCTAAATAGTATATACTTTGGCCTTAAAGTAGTCCCTACATAAGTACTTTGGGGCCAAAGTATATACTATTTGCGTACATGGACCCTTAGGGTTACTGAACCCTTCCAACAAAATCCCTCGAGTTCTCTTGGCGCCGCACTGCGGGAGGCCTGCGCAGGTCGCGAGACGCCCTCGGCCCAAAGAAGATGGCTTTTAAGGGTTCGAAAGAGCTTTCTTGCTTTTCTGTGTTGGGGACGGGGTGCGGGGGTTAGGGCTTCGGGTTCTATAACGCTTAGGGTTCGGGGTTTGGGGGTCAGGGGTGTAGGGTTTACATATACAGGTCTTAGGAGATTGCTTGTTCAGATCATAGGTGGCGGTTTGGGACTAGAGAGGGTCCTGTCAAGTCATTAAATGGCTTCGTGGGGCTTTGAGCAAGTCATAGCGGTGCTTCTCCAGTTGTGTACGAGAAAGCACACTTAGCAAAATTTGACCTGCTCAACTGTTACTCAACTACTCAACGCAACTTCCAACGACGTGGCCTTGCAAGAAATACACCTCCACCGCTGCAGCGCTACCCGGGTTCGGCTCTTCTGTGCTGTTGCTTGAGGAGTCTGACGAATGCTCCTTTTTTCTGTAGCTGCCTGTGTCTCCTTGCCTTTGCGGCCTTCTGCAGTTCCATCAACTGCTCCTTCCTCTTTTCCATTACATCGTCTTGCTCCTTTGCAGCTTCTCCTTCTGCGGGACGTCTTCTAGCAGCTCCCTTCGCAAATCATCATCATCAACTTCACCGCCGCTTGCCGCTGGTCCTTCCGCATGCTCCTTCAATTTCTCAGGGTTTATTAGGGTTCAGCGTCCAGGGTCGAGGGTGTAGACTTAAAGTTTCAAGGGTTTAGGGTGTTATTCGGGTTATATAGGGCCATGTACAGTCCAGTTCGGATCTGAATCTGGAATCGGGAGGAACGTGCCACCTCCCCCCCAAAAAAAATACCACATCCCAAACCTTTCAGCCATCAACTGACTCTCTGAAACCTTCCACCCGACATTACTTGTCGTAAAGCTGTTGCATGTGCCAATGGCTTATGTAGAGATCCCGAAAATACACACCCGAGTCCGCTAAAACACAATGATAACTACCTTCCGCTCATCATTCAAAGAGTGACTTTAAACTTCAAAGCATGTATTTTCGCAGAGCTCTTTCGAGAATAATCAGAATACCACAGCAAGCATGCAACACCATATTATAGGGCCCAAGACTCTAAAACCCTAAACTCCTAAACCCTACAACGAGCAAACAACAAGTCCCAACAGCCTAAGCACCAAAACCTTGAAACAACTCAGCCCTACACCACAAGCCTTAACAAAAATAAAACTCGAGCCCCCGAACCCCATACTGAAAGAAACCACCCTGACATTCGCAAAGCCCTGAAACACCGGTTCTATTATAGGTTTAGGGTTTAGGCTTTAGGGTTTAGGGTTTAGGGTGTAGGGTATATATCGTACTCAAAAAGAACTAGAACCCACCCTCCACTGAGCGGACCCAAACCCCAAAAACCCCTAGACCCCTGTAGCCCTCCTTTCAGCACATGGGTAGTTCTCTAAATTCGGAAACCCCAAAAACCCCTAGACCCCTGTAGCCCTCCTTTCAGCACATGGGTAGTTCTCTAAATTAGGGTCCCTTTTTGGGTCCCCAATAAAGTACGGCACCCTTATCAAAAGGACCCCAAGGAGGGACCCTCATTTAGAAAACTACCCACATCCTCAAAGCCCTCCTTTTAAAAACCCTACACCTGCAAAACCATTCAAGCTTGAAAAAGACCCGAACCCCGGTTTAGGGTTTAAGGTTTAACCCCGCTTTCCTCAGGACAACAATTCCCCTACATTGAAAGTCCTCACCAAGGCTCAAACCCCAATGCCAAAACCCCAAACCCTGAGACCGAGCCACCTTGAAGAACTTCCAAAACCCAAACCCTTCAAACCTCTAAACTTCTAAACCCAGAAATCTCTGAACTCCAAAACTGAAATCCCAAACCCTCAACCCAAGTCCTTAAGGAACTTCCCAGCAAGTCCGAGATAGGGGCCGATGATCCAAGCAACCTCGGTTTCGGCTTGAACAGGTTGGTGAGCGGGGGGTCGAGAACAACCCTATACCCTGAACCCTAAAAACTGAAACCTAAACCCTACACCACCTATGTATGTATGTATATATATATATATATGGTAGCCCCCCCCATGAACTACCGACCCTCGTTTTGTATCGTAAATACCGTGTTAGACCTGCTT